TGGAATGGCCTGTGTTTATTTTTTTGCCCATGTAGGAAAAATACGGCATATAGTAGGTATCTAATATTGAAAAAAAAGCACATTTATCAATGTCTGTGAACTTGATCTTGCTCTGTCTTTTTGTAGGTATGCGGTAGATGATGTTCCCTTCTCAATCCCTGCAGTCTCAGAAATTGCTGACCTCAGTAACATCATCAATAAGTTGCTGGAGGCCAAAAATGGTGGGTATATTATACACTTGATAAGTTAGGGAAAGGTACATACGATACATTTATTTCCTTTTTGCTTTATGTTATAATTCCGTATGAAATTTTAGAACTCTTCATTTTGTAAATTATGGGATTCTATGCTGGAAAACAACTTTAAAAAATGCTCTGAAAGAAAAGTTTTCACAGAAGATATACTTCTATTTCATGTGCTTTTCAGGTATAAACATGTCTAAATGTCAAGTAAAACGTAAGAAATATTTAAAATATGTTATTGTATATATAAATTATTGGCACGTAAAATTAACCTGAACTCATGTTCATGGGAAAGGTGAATGGAAACATATTTTCCCTCCTCTTTAAATAATCTCATATTTTGTTAAGTTTGAGGTGCTGTTTTGAACAACTTTTTTAGGGAGGGAGAGGCAGTCACGTATCTATTTTTGCCAATAAGTTGTAGATCTTGATATTCGTGGTATGAATTACTGTTTAATACCCTTCCTGTAAAGCAGGCTATGAAAACAAAACATCAAAACCAATTTACACTGGAATCATGAAAGCAGAATCCCACCGTAAGTTAGGGACCACAGACTTCCTGTTGGCAATCTTTCCTATTCCTTCCGTTCAATCATGGATGCATAGAGATAATGATGAATTTATAAATTTTGAGGGTGTCTTATATTCTACTTGTTGAAAAAGTCTTTGAACTAGAATAAGAGTTATTAGTCTTTCAATCAAAGCTTTACAATACCAGTATATGGTTGTTTATTGATACCCAAGTAGTTGAAAATTTTTCGAAACCTGTAAACTGAGTATTTGTTGGCCTTTTTGTATAAATTGAATAATTCTGTTATTGCTGTGAACTCAAGATGCAAATGATTTAAATATCAGATTTTAAAAATATTGCTAATGAAAATAGTTGATGAGAACATTTTTGTTTTAGAAGGATTACAGCTAAAAAATGTGTAAAGTATGATATAATTAGATTGTTCACTACTTTGCATCTCCAAATTAAATAAAGGATGGAGGCAGAAATTATCATTTGCAGTTCAACTGCTAGGTAAAAAGTTAGTAGGGAACATTGTGATGTGTGGAATCAGACTGACATTGTCTAAGCCCACAAGTGGATCTTAGCACCATAAAAAGAGACAACCACATTCCTAATTTGTTCCTATAAGAAATACATAGCACTGCCTGTGAAGTACTAGTCTTGTAAAGTGTTAAAAAAAAAACAAAAACAAACCCAAACTTACTAGCTGTCCGGATATATAGGTGATAGAGGAATATTTAGAGAATACCTTGGAGACACAAACAACCAAACCTGGAAAGTAGGACTTATTATAGGGCAGGTAACCTACTTTCTCCAAAGAATCAAGACTAAAAGAAACAGTAATCAAATACAATATGTGACCTTTGGATGCTGAGTCGAAACACCTCCCTATAAAAAGACATTAAAAAAAAAAAGAAATATGAATATTGACTATTTGATTAAAAAAGAATTGTTCTACTTTTTATCATTGTGACTCTGTTTTCTTAAGTTGCTATACTTTTAAGATGCATACTAAAGTATTTACAGATGGAACGATAGACTTTCTGGGATTCGATATGAAGTAAACTAGGAGGGAAGAGTGTAGTTCATTGCCCAAGAGTAGTCATTTACCAAACGTGGTGATAGATGCTTCAGGAGTCATGATATTATTTCTGCGTTTGCATATGTGTGAAGTTTCCCATAGACTACAGAGGTTTCTTAAAAGCACAAGGACACCAACAGTATATCTCTAAAAACCACATGGCATACTGGGGTACATGGCCTGATTGTGCCAGATGAAATTCTGGGGGGACTCACCAATCACACTAGGATCATAGATGCCTGCGTGTTCTGAGAGTTTTCAGGTAGACCTCTGGCAATACCATGTGAACCAGGTTCTGAGAGTAATACTAATTTTATTATATTTTCTTTAGAGTTCCACAAACATGTGGAGTTTGATTTCCTTGTCAAGGGCCAGTTTCTACGCATGCCCTTGGTCAAACACATGGAGCTGGAGAACATCTCATCAGTAAGTTCAAAGACCTCTGCGTTCCCTCCAGACATGATCAAGTAGAGTTAGCTTGAACTTAGCGTCAGCAGCAAAGATTCTTGTGATGATTGATTTTCCTACATGTGTGAACTTTAGTTTCTATATATTTAATTCTGATAATCCACACTTCTCTGAGAATGCATAAATGTGGGGATAGTAAATATATGGATATTATAAATATATAAAATTTTATATTACTGTTGGACATGTACAAAATGATTGTACACATATAAGAAGCTTATGGGTTAAGCTGTTGTGATGACTAGGGGTTTTCTTTCTCTAATTTTTCAGACTTTTCATAATAATACTTTTATAACTTAAAATTCATCATGTATAATTGCTTTGATGTTTTTACAGTTAAATTTTTTCTATATTATTTTTTCTTTCTTTATTCTTATACAGTTAAATTTTTTCTATATTCTAGATCTCTACCTGTAGTATATAGTGACTGATGTTACTAATATTCTTTAATATTACTCTAAACAGATTGTTGGGGGAAATAAAGTTTTTTACTCTTCGTATGATTCCCAATTTTCAGGATAAATGAAGAGCACTGATAGATCTAAGACTCTGAGGCTCCATTAGCTTCATATTTTAAAACTGCACCAGCTGATTGGCTTCTGCTTTTTTCTCTCTGTGACCAGGAAGAAGTGGTGGAGCTGGAATACGTGGAGAAGTACACTGCGCCTCAGCCAGAGCAGTGCATGGTCCACGATGACTGGATCAGTTCTGTTAAAGGGGCGGAGGAATGGTACTCCCAGATGCATGTTCTTAGACCTCTTTCCTTCCATACCATCTTTTTAAGTCCACTATGTGAATATTTTTCTCTGGTTTCCAATGCTTTGTAAAAGTAATTTTGTGATAATATGCATAGGTGACTATGTCAAAGAAAGTCGGCCGTGTATTCAAGAAGAAACTAGTTACGTATTAATAGATTTCTTTTTAATTTCTTTAACAAGTTTAAAATTGTGAATTAGGTAGGGTTTGCATATCAGATCATTCAGTTTTGTATTTAGTAATTTAAGCTACTTCTCAACCAGCACCAGCACCCATTGTTTTCTTTTTTGCTTTAAGATGTTATAGTGACATTTGTCATGAATCTGTCGGGTGTCTTGGGACATTTATTTGTCTGAGGATAATGCTTTTAAGACTGAGCTAGTTGGTTTTCTAGTGGGAAGACAGCTTTTTTTTTTCAATTCATTTAATTTTTTTTTATTGCTTTTGAAAAGGTGTCAGTTTTTTTTTCCTAGTCGTTTTATTAGGGGCTCATACAACTCTTATCACAATCCACATATACATCAATTGTGTAAAGCACATTTATACATTCATTGCCCTCATCATTCTCAAAACATCTTCTCTCCACCTAAGCCCCTGGCATCAGCTCCTCATTTTGGGGTAAGATAGCTTTTATAGCCACAAATCTGTTTGCTATCATGAAGATGCAGATTATGTTTTTCTAATAGGAAAAAAGATGGATTGGAATCACCTAAGAAGGTATGGGTGGCTTAAAGCAAGCCCCCACTGGTTTTACTGTTAGTAAAATACCTCAAAAGTGGACTATAAAATGAATATAAACTAAGCCCCACAAAAGAAGACAGCAATAAATTCATACCTGTAATTACACTGAATGTACACCAATTAAATGTACCAAGAAAGAAAATGGCAAAATGGATAAGAAATCTGATGCATCAGTACACTGCCTCCAAGAAACTTGCCTTAGACACAAAGACACATATATACACCCATGCATTATTGCAGCACTGTTCACAGTAGCAAAGAAATGGAAACAAGTGCCCATTCGTGGGAGAATGGATAAACTGATTTGTACATGCAATGTAATGTCATGAAACAGTAGAGAATTGCCAGTTCACAAAGATCTCAAAACATGAGTGAACCTGGAAGACATTACGTTGTGTGAAATAAGTCAATCATGAGAGGACAAACTTTGGATGAGTCCACTATTGTAAAAGGTCTGGAAGGAAACACAGGGAAAAATGTCGTCTTTGAAAGCTACCAAGAATGGAAGGAAAGGTAAAGAAAAAGCCAATAACTAGATAATAAACCAATTGCCTTTGAGTTGATTCCAGCTCGTAGAAGCATATTGACCCTATAAGACAGAAGAGAAATGTTCCCATGACTGTAATCTTCATGGGAGTAGATAGCCTCATCTTTCTCCCTTGGAATGGCTGGTGGGTTTGAACCTTGCTCTCAGCAGTCCAACACTTAGCAACTTGGCTACCAGGGCTCTTTAACGAAAGAACAGACTAATTTGGGTGAAGGGAAAGGCAGCATATAATAAAGGGATGATCAGAATATCAGTAAAGACAGGATTAGAGTTACAGACAACAAAGATAAATGCTGTTACATAAACAATCCTGTAATATCAGAAATAAATAGTAATCTACAAATGGAAACATAGGTAGACAGGAAGATGAATAGATAGGTGATAGGGACTATACTTATGATCCTATATGTTTGTAGGCTATATTTCAACAAATGCATGTGTTGTGAATACATGCATGTTTATAATAAAGCAAAAGGAGCAAAGGTATGTTATCTTAGCTATAACCAAGGTCTGTTGGCATAATGTGGTTCACAGGCAACAGTCTTCATTCTGCTGTGGTGACATATAACTGGGGTCTTAGTTATGATTGATTGCAGGGGTCCTCAAACTTTAAACAGGTGGCCGTTCACTGTCCCTCAGACCCGTTAGGGCCGGACTATAGTTTTTTAAAAAAAACTGAACAAGTTACTATGCACACTGCACATATCTTATTTTGAAGTAAAAAAAAACAAAACGGGGCAAAAACACCTAGCGGGCCGGATAAATGTCCTCGGCAGGCCGCATGTGGCCAGCGGGCTGTAGTTTGAGGACCCCTGATTTAGTGTGTGAGTGATCATCTGGGGTGCAACTATTGGTCTTACCCCATCCAGAGCAAAGAAGAGTGAAAACAAAATCAAAGACCAATAGAAACAGTACAGAGTACTAGTGTACTCCTCAAACCTCAGCTTCCACCACCCTCCCGCCAGAAGAACTCTGGAGCCAGTTCTGCTGCTGACCCCTCTGGAAAGGGATCAGAGTAGAGGATCCTGCATAGAGTGGAAGACAAATGTGGAACTCAAAATATTTTAATTTTTAAAAACCCTGGCTTACTGATCTGTTGGAGGTTGTTGGAAACCCTTGGTCACTCTTCAGGCCTGGAACGGAATTCATTCCCCTCACTCAACTTTTAGTAAAAAATAGGCCTGTGGGGTGAAAAACCAGAAAAGGGAAGTACGTACTCCTTGGAGCAGTCAACCAGTGGAAACAAAAGGACAACACTTGTCTGGAGATGAAGCTCTGAAAGTAGCAATGGATAGGAAGAAGGATCGGTGGCAAAGATAATTACAGGAAAAAAGCGGAAAGAGTGTTGGTACATTTGGGGTTCTACAATCAATGTTATGAAATTAATTGTGTATGAATGGTTGAATGGAAACGTCCAATCACAATGAAATGTTAAAGAAAAAGGGTGGATCATAGTAGGAGCTTGCTCCTTCAAAGTCTGTCTCTCAGGAATTATGACAAATGTTATTACTGGTCTTACTTTTACTGTAAATTTGTATTATTATTTTTTTGTATTAGTTTTTGTCTTGGGTTAAGTGCAAAGGACTTTGAGGCTTTTTAAGCAATTCACATGGCTTCCCCAAAAGTTGCAGTATTTACAACAATGGTAAAAAAATGAAATCTAAAGGTTGTCAGATCTATTTATATCTTTAACAAGACTGAAAAAGTAGTAACATCTGATACTATGTTCTGAAATCTTTCTCTTCACAATTTAAAAAAATTTATCCTCAGTGTTGACTTGTTATTGCCTTAAAGCACAATAGATTTTTAGGTTTTGAAAATGCTTTTTTACATATTTTACAGATCTTTTTTTCCCCCGCCCCACCTCACAGGATCTTAACTGGCTCTTACGATAAGACTTCTCGAATCTGGTCTTTGGAAGGAAAGTCAATAATGACAATGGTGGGACATACAGATGTTGTAAAAGATGTGGCTTGGGTGAAAAAAGGTTAGGACTTTTTGCCTTTGAAAAAGAATCCTAAGCCAGTTCTAGTGCAAAAGCAAAGCAGGGGTTGACTAGGAAATAATTTGTGTTTCGGTAATTATGAGGCCTTTCGATAAAATAGTCTATAAAAAAATCCATAAAATTGGTTGAAACGAGTCCTTAAATTTACATCAGGTAATATACATTTACCAGTGAATATATGATGTGGCATGCTATCTTTGTGTCTGCTTAAAGAACAGTCGCTTTATGCTGTAAGTTAGTTTACTTTTCAAATCCAACCTGACAAGTGCCTGTATCTTTTTAACGTATCTGTTTAAGAAAGCTTTGATCTGCTTCAGAACACAAGGCCTTTACAGGCTCTGTGCTGATTTGGCTCTGACTTTGGATTTCCTTTCCTCAGACAGTTTGTCCTGCTTGCTGCTCAGTGCCTCTATGGATCAAACGATTCTCTTATGGGAGTGGAATATAGAGAGAAACAAAATGAGAGCCCTGCACTGCTGCAGAGGGCATGCTGGGAGTGTGGATTCTATAGCTGTTGATAGCACAGGAACTAAAGTAAGTAGTTGCCATTAGTATGGTATAGAATTAATGTGTTTCTTTATAAACAGTTTTATTGACACACAATCCACATACACAATTCAATAGTTCAATCATGCCAAGAAGAGTTGTGCAATCAGTACTGTATTAAATTTTATTTTAAGCAGCTTCCTAAACATTTTTCTACATAAACACATTGTGATTGGCCTGGGTTAGTAACTTTTAATGGCTAATGAGCATACTTTCAAACTAATAGTAATACTTAAGTGGGGGGTGGGTGGTGGGTGGTAAAAGGGAGCTTATGTCAAGGAGTTCAAGGAGGAAGAGGATGTCTTAAAACTGATTGTGGTGTCAGTTGTACATTCCTGCTGGGTGTGATTGAACTATGGAATATATCTGTATTAGCTCCCAATACAGATTGGGGGGGGAAAAATAATACTCATGTAGGTAAAAATGTAAATGTACATTTCCTCTGTCTGGATATCTTTGGTTTAGAGCCATGCTTAAACTGCAGAAATTTTAAGGCATCAGGTAAACATACATTTCTCTATACAACCTTATTAACTCACCATAGTTCACATTTGAAGGAGCCTCCAAAAGTTAATGGCAAAATTCCATTTTCTTTCCATTCCATTTTTCCATGAACCTTTTGAAGATCCCTTGTATTCTCAGTCTATCAACTACTCACCTTGCTGACATAAACTTAAAATGCCTATCATCTGAGCATTAGCATATACTAAATTAATATTGACACTAGCTTTACAGGACGTGCCATTTTGATCCATTTCAGTTTCCTAAGTGAAAATTATAGAAACCATTCACATTTACCTCCTACCATTTATGCTGACTTTTATCCATTTAACAAGACAAATAAGATATCCAAATTCATTTTCTCTTAAGCCTTGTAATCTCGAAATTCTTAGGGGTACACCTTTCTCTTCAGATAGGTGTCAATTTGACTTGAACATAAACTGAGTATTAATCCCAGTAAATCAGCTTCATTCATGGGAGAATTACTCTGTAAGAAATATAAACATAGTAAAAAAGTTCTTAGAAAGTAAACATCAAATATAAAGACCCAAGCGCCCTTATGATACACGGAACCCAGTATCTCCAATGTTGTATAATGTTAAATATTATATGTTTAACATAGATATACAGCATACAGTTTCATTTACAAGTTAATAGTGTACATTTAGGTTGTTTTTAAGTGAGTAATTTTTTAAAGAAAATGTGCGGTTTCATTCACAGCACTATTGGGCACACATCCGTAGAGATAGGTATATGAGAAATGTCCGTTAGCCTAGTGTTAATAGGGTTTGGTTTGGTGCTGATCTACTCTTTTTCATGGTGAAATGGTAACTTACTTGAAGGAAAACAAAGATGTGAGCAACATTATTGATGTATGAGGGGTTGTGAACCTGCTTAACAATTAGAAAGTTCCATAAGCCACATCAAAGTCTTCTGAATTTAGGAGTTTCTTCAGGATTTCATTAGCAGCTTGGTGACAAGACATTTTGTACAGTCAAAGGAAAAGATGTATGCATTTTCATACGGTGCAGAAAGGTTTACAGGTTGTTGAATCAAGATGAAATTGAATGAATTGTGCCCTGTATTTTAGTTAATAAGAGAAAGAAACATCTTAAATTTCTTAAACTTAATGGAAAGCTTGTCACAAGAAGGCTGTTAATGCGGTTGGGCCGTGGGAAGCAGTGAAACGGTGGCTCGCACACACGCTTCCTGAGACACAGTTTTATAAGAAAGGTCTTACATAAGTAAGGGGCCACTGGCACAGTATAGATCAGTTTCCCACCCCGATCTAAGCCACTCTGTACAAGAATTGAGGGCATAGCTGCCAGGAGAATGGGCACGCCAGGCAGATGGTTATCTTTGGTAATAATGCACCGTGGAAAGTAAGTAAAGTAGTAAAAACAATTAGGCGAGTAATAGAATTATATTACATATTCTTTTCCCCCCCCTCATATATATGTGTTTAGTTTTGCAGTGGCTCCTGGGATAAGATGCTAAAGATCTGGTCTACAGGTAAATTTAACATTTCTTTTATTCTGATATGTGAAAACGTGCATGTGTTAAAAGCAATGAAGTCCCCGAGGAATCTCAAAAATAGACTTTGGGGGCAGGGCTTGATATCTCACCAGACTCGATTGGAAAAAATTCATAAGGGTAAACAAGCAGCCATGGAACTATTTATAGGCTTTGTTTTCTTTTTCTTTTTTTCATGTCTATCTAAGATTGGTCAGATAAACAATCCCGAAGAGAAAACAATGGAATGACAACTCAGTGTGGGACGTGGGAGAGGGGGAGATGGGGGAATGGAAGGGGAGAGCCAACAAACCCAGGGACAAGGGAACAATACATGATATAAAAGCAATGGTGAATTGGGAGTAGAATGCCTGGTGGGGCTTGATCAAGTGCAATGTAGCAGAGAGGAATTACTGAAAGCCGAATGAACGTTGAACATGATAATGGGACAAGAGGAAAGTAAAAGGAAAGGAAAGTAAAAGGACAAGAGGAAAGAACTAGGAGGCAAAAGATATTCATAGAGGTATAAATACAGGCATGTACATATGTAAATACATTTAGATATAACGCTAGGGCTATGTACATATATGTTAAGTATTAAGGTAGCAGATGGACATTGAGTCTCTCGAGTAAAGTACTCCTTCAACACAAGAACACTTTGTTCTTCTAACCTATCATTCTGTGATGCTCACCTTCCCAACACAATCACTGAAGACAAAATGGGTACATAGCAAATGTGGTGAAGAAAGCTGATGGTGCCAGCTATCAAAAGATATAGCGTCTAGGCCGGGTCTTAAAGGCTTGAAGGTAAACAAGTGGCCATCTAGCAGGGAAGCAACAAAGCCCACATGTAAGAAGTACACCAGCTTGTGTGATCATGAGGTGTGGACAGGATCAGGTATGAGGCATGAGAAGACCCAAAACAAACAATCATATCAATGTGAATGGGGGAGCCCAAGTGGAGACTCAAAACCCATCTGTAGACAATTGGACATCCCCTCACAGAAGGGTCACAAGAAGGGACAAGGCAGCCAACGTATAGTATAGCACTGATGAAATATACAGCATTCCTCTAGTTCATTAATGCTTCCTCCCCTCTACTATCATGACTCCTCTACCTTACAAATCTGGCTAGAACAGAGCATGTACACGGATACAGATAAGAGCTCCTGATGGAATCCAGGGCAGATAAACCCCTCAGGAACAATAATGGTAGTAACAATACCATGAGGCTCGTAGAGGGAAAGAGGGGGGAGAAAAGGGAACCAATCGCAATTCTCGATGTGTAACACCCCCTCCCCAGGGTGATGCAAAACAGAAACATGAGTGAAGGGAGACAGTGGACGGTGTAAGACATGAAAATAATAATCATGGGGAGGGGGTGCGGAGGGAGGGAAAAAACAGCTTATACCAAGGGCTCAAGTAGAAAATGTTTTGAAAGGATGATGGCAACATATGTACAAATGTGCTTGATACAATGGATGTATGGATTGTTATCAGGGCTCTAAGCCCCCAGTAAAATGACTTATTAAAATTAAAAAACAAAACCTGTATTAAACACATAAAGCATATATATGAAAGAGAAAAACAGACCACAACCTTTGGAGGACACTCATAAGGGAGCATTTCACTTTCATGGAGAAAAATTAGTATGCCCTTTTGTGTTTCAAAATTTCTTTCTACCCCACCACCTCTCTTATAAGGAAATGTAACTAAATTGAGACAGCATGTTTGGTGGAATAGGACATAAGCACTTCAGTTTTAGAATTCACTTATACCAAGATTTGAATTTGCATTTGGTTTTTTAGTGTGTGTTATAAATTAAGAAAACATTTGCCATTTCAACAGTCTTTGCATATATAGTTCATTGAAATATTTATCATATTGTGCTATCATCACCATTATAGTCCATATTTTTCTAACACTTTTAACAGATTTGCAGTGTTCTCTAAGCAGCACTCCCTCCTGCTCATCCATGGTAACTACGAGTAAACCTTGGTTTCAAATCAGACCAAACCAAACTCACTGCCATTGATTCGATAGAGACTTACAAGGACCCTATAGGACAGGGTAGAGCTGCCCTTGTGAGTTTCCAAGACTAATTGCTGAAAGATATAGCAGGCCCTGTCTTCTGTGCAGTGGCTGGTTTAGAACTGCTGACCTTGCTGATTGCAACTGAACCTGTAACAGGGGAGCGATATACCCAGCACTGTGTATGATCCATTGAGACTGTTTATAATGAATATTGACCATACATTAAGACGACGTTGAATCTAGTTCTCTATAATGCAGTTCCTACAGATGAAGAAGATGAAATGGAGGAATCCATAAGCCGACCCAGAAAAAAACAGAAAACAGAGCAGTTGGGACTAACAAGGGTAAGTATAGGAATTGACAATGCTTGACTTTACTTGTGTTGACAAATACGTGGTAAAGTAATGTAACCTTTTCCATTTGTCTTTCCTTTTGCCGTATCCTGCTGCTTCAATCATAATTAGACTTGTAAGTTTGTAAAGTTTTCGATAAGCACTGTCACATATTTTCTTAGTCTTTGACCCTAGTATCATTGAGTTGGGCTTACATGCGTGTAGGTTTTTATTTAGCTATTATATTTAAGCTCTGATGCTGGAAACCACCCTCTCACCCCACCCCCGAAGTGCTAATTGCCGTGAAACTTGTGCTGTAATTAGCAAATAGGAATTTTTAGATTTTTGAGACCAAAGGGATAAAAGTTATTAAAAAGCAATTACCTTCCTACTTTCCCTAATAATTTAATGGTCTTCTTACAGTAACAAAAAGTTTTATTTTGACATTTACAAGGATTACAAATAACCAAACAAATTATGACGAATATGCAACAAAGACTGTTTTATGTGGCCTGCGAAGTCTAAATGTAGTGTCTCGCCCTTTACAAAAAACCTCTGCTAATTCCTTTTCTAGTGTAACCTTCCAGTATAGATGAGGTAATAATCTTTTAGGAAGTTAAATGTAACAAAGTTACAGTAGTATTGGACTGTCTCTGCCAAGAACTATTTCCTTCTCCTTCACATGTTGTTTCTATTTGAGACAGACATTATACCTAGTTTGGGCTTTTAATTTGAGAAAGATATTAGAGATTTTGGAACACAGTAAATGAGCCATGGACATTATTTTTAAATTAAGTAATAGGACTTTGGGCATATCTAAATGAATTTATCCCGAAGAGTCTGTGGAAATTGGCAGTGTCTTGAACATGAACCGAGCTGTCTAAACTCAAAGCACTGTCTATTTACTTCTACATATAACATGTTTTGTTACTTGGAGGAATTAAGTTAGTGTTAATATAATATTAATACTGTCAACATTAGAAGTAGATGTAATCCTTAGGCAACAACAGATTGTAAAATGGTCTCCTGCCCATGAATAGCATCTGATCTCAGGTTCTTTAGATAACTTTGTCAGCATACAACAGAATATAATGAAAAGGTAAACTTTGGAGTCATATCTGGGTTTATACTTGAGTCTTGCCACTTTTAAAATGTATAACCCTGAGCAAATTAACGTTCTCCGTTTCAGTTCACAAAATGAAAACATACATCCATCTGGAGTTCTGCCATAAAGAAATAAGGCAGCGCATAAAAGCCGACTCTGCCGTTGAGTCGACCCTATAGGAAATGTCCCCATGGATTTCCAAGACTAACTCTTAATGGGAGTAGAAAGCCCCATCTCTTTTTTTTCCCCAAGGAGCAGGTAGATGTTTCAAACTGCTGACCTTGTGGTCACAGCCCAACACAGAACCACTATGCCACCAAGCACCCTGAAAACTAACAGATGAGCTTTAGTAGTAAGTACCATTACTAGTTCTGTTATGCTGAATTGAAAGCACTTTCCCCTTTTGGGGGTCCTTCATTTCCAGACACCCGTGGTGACCCTCTCTGGCCACAAGGAAGCAGTTTCTTCAGTTCTTTGGTCAGATACTGAAGAAGTCTGCAGCGCGTCTTGGGACCACACAATTAACGTGTGGGATGTTGAGACTGGCAGTCTTAAGACAACTTTGGTAAGAATAATACGTTCTGTGATTTTCTGACTTAATCTTTTAGGTAACCAACAGAGAGGTTACCATTCTTTCTTTTCTCTTTTTCAGACAGGAAATAAAGTTTTTAATTGTATCTCGTATTCACCGCTTTGTAAACGTTTAGTATCAGGGAGTACAGATAGGCATATCAGACTGTGGGATCCCCGAACTAAAGGTGAGTCTTGTAGACCACTGGGGAGAAGAGTGGTTTGTGTGGTGTGTGTGTGTGATGCATTTACCTTTCCATTAGAGATGTACATAAATATCTAATTTTTTCATAAATATCTAATTTTGTGGAAAGATAAGTTGTTATTTTTTGCTTTGTTCAGATGGTTCTTTGGTATCACTGTCCCTAACATCACATACTGGCTGGGTCACATCAGTAAAATGGTCTCCTACCCATGAACAGCAACTGATCTCAGGTTCTTTAGATAACTACGTGAAGCTCTGGGACACAAGAAGGTAAATCCTATTTCTGATCTACAAAAAAAATTTACTAATAACCTGTTGTGTGCAGAAAAAAAAAGTGAACTCGATTCTGAAATGATTGTTCAAAGCTAAAAGGTTAAAATAGTTCCCTGTTTTACTCCCTGATATGGTAAGTACAAAAGATTGTAAATTCCATCTGACTTATTTGATATTATTATTGATATGAGAGAGACAGAAAAAAGTTAATGGATATTACCCTGAGTCGTAACACAAATACCATACACAATTTAGAAGAAGAGGGACAACAGACACTGAATAAAAGGAACTTTGTCAGATTATAAACTAATGAGAAAATTTAATAGAAAATTAAACAAAAATCCAAGCATTTAAAAACAACCAGATATCAAGGGTACCTTTTGTACTCTTGGGAGCCCTGGCAGCACAGTGGTTATGAGTTGGGCTGCCAATCACAAGGTCAGCACTTGAAGTCCCCGGCTGATCCTCAGGAGAAAGACAGGGCCTCCTTTTCCTGTGACGTTACAGTCTCAGGAACTAACGGGCAGTTCTTTTGTGGCTCTAAGGTTGCTCAAATCTGCATGACTCTTGGCAGTGAGAATTTGTGTTCTGGGCTAGTACTAAATATTATGTATCCAATGCTGCCAATAAAATGGATGCACAATTTATTTAAATCTTCTTACAAGTAGGATGGAGTGGCATCAGCCACTATCTCACAATACGTGGAGTAGAAATAAATGCTATGAAGACAGGAAAGAAGCATCCCTTTTGGAAAGGCCCCTTTGAAAGAGTGGTGTTTGGTAGTGAAGTGAGAGAGGGCAGTTGAGTTTTTTATAAGGCATCTGTCTGTCAGTGAGGCAATTGGATATGCATATCAAGCTCATGGGAAAACCTGGGCTGTAAACTTGAGTTACTAATATATATAGATTGGTAGGCAAGAGGTGTGTACAACCATGATTTGGAGGTAAAAGACTGGAAGTCAGGAAATGTGAAAATAGCCTCCTCGTAAACAAATGCCTTTTTATACACAGCATTTTCCTGAGTATACTTGTTGCAGCTAATCTATTTAGTCTGCAAATGACATAGAGAAAAATAAGAGACATGTGTAAGTAAATACTAAAAAATTTATGTCTTTGGTTCTTGGAGCAAGGATTTATAAACCCTGGAAAATTTTCAGAAAAGAACAATTGATTATCTATTCATATTCGCTGGTATTTTTTCATTTTATTACTGTGAAATACATGTAAGTTGTTACTGTTACATCTTTCAGTTGTAAAGCTCCTCTCTATGATCTGGCTGCCCATGAAGACAAAGTCCTGGGTGTAGACTGGACAGAGGCAGGGGTAAGAATTTATTAGTTATTAGAAGGAAAGTCTATTGTTGGATTCAATCTGGTGGTTATGTTTATAGTCTGATATTTATAATTCTGTACCCTGACTAGGGAGCCCTGTTAGTGTGGTGGTTATGCATTGGGCTATGGTCTGCAGGGTAAGCAATTTGGAGCCACCAGGCAGGGCATTTTGCTCGCATGAAGAGTTGAGTCTTGAAAAGCCTCAGGGCAGTTCCACTCCGTCCTACATGATCCACACTAGTCAGAATTGACTCGGTGCCGCAAGTTTGAGTTTGTACTCTATGCTTTTCTTTAAAGTAACACTTGAAACATTTAGGGGAAAAACTAATTTTAACTTTGGAGTATCTTAACATCATGGTTAAGTCGATAAACTCAGTAATTCAGACTGATTAAAGTATTTCTCAGGAAGCTCTTAAATAACGTTTGGATTGTAAAAGGTGTTTTTAAATGTTAATTAAATTGTTGCCTAAGAATTCAATCCAAACTCAGTTTCTAGGGCTATTTGAATAATTTATAATCTAGTTACCTGCAAAGAATTAATGTGCTAAAAACTTTTGTTAGATAACTACACCACCCTTCAACTGTTTACTTCAGTACATTTCTTAGCTAATGCTGCATAAAAATTAAAATAGCACGTTACATCTTAACCAAATTCAAATGATCACTTTTACAACTAGAATGTATACAGTACTGAAAATTGATATATTGGTTCCAATATGGAAACTTTAAATGGAAGTTAACTACTCATCTAGAATTCTACTTAAAACTATTGGTATTTTTTAATTTTGCTGTTACATGAAATAATGTATTTACTTACGTGTTTGTGTCTTTTTTCTCCCACTTTATGCAGTTACTTCTGAGTGGAGGAGCAGACAATAAATTGTATTCCTATAAATACTCACCAACCACCTCCCATGTCGGGGCATGAACCTGAATGCTCATCTGATGGTCCAGATTCTTTTTATAAATGAATCCATAGAGAATCCTTCGATTCTACAGACAGTGCTTCAGAAAATAGCATTTTGGATTATAGTTTTTTGTTTTGTTTTTTTTTAATCATTTTATTGGGGGCTCTACAACTCTTATCATAATCCATTGGATTATAGTTTATATAAAATTCTCACCACTGATAATATCTAACATATTATATTTTCTTTATTTCATATTTATAGTGTGACAGTTTATGTTCATGAATATAAAGTGTGACCTGCATTCTCTATCTAATGTAATGCTAAGCTCTTGAAATGAGTTGTTGTCTTCCTTTTCAAGTGTGTTGGTTTGAATTAAAATTTGCTTTTGAAATAATATAATACTCAGATATTATATATATATAGTAATTACATAGCTTTTCTGACTGAGAAGTAGAATTTAAGTTGAAAATACATTTTGTCTTTGTCAGATTGTGATGTTGAAGTATAAGAAAGCAAACTTTAGGTATTCAGAACATTGGAAAAGTAAATCCTTCTTATTTATTAAGTGTTTGTTGAAATATTTTAAGTGAAGTAAATTAAGAATATGTCAGAATCCTTTAGTAATTGAATACAAAGTTCATAGTAACCAAGAATCACCTTGTTCCCTAACTGGTCCTCATATGTAGGTAAGAATAGATCCTTTAAATAAACTGTTTTGGTTAGTATTAGATAATAAACATCCTATTGATTTTATGAATTATCATTAACATTTATCTATGCATGTGCTAATACCAAATATGTACATGTAGGGTAAATTTTAAGTGATTTACATCGATTGGTATTCCTCAAGAATATTTTACAACCTCTTAGCACCATATAGGAAATACATTTGATTTCATTGCTAGACTCTTTAATACAACATTATCTCAATCAATATTCCTATCATGGAATTTCTGGGAAACTACATCTATACCTTTGCTGAGGTTGAGAGCCAAATTCATGGTGGATTAAGCCAGTTAGTAGTTTAGTTCTCTCACATGAAGACGTCTAGAGTTGATACAATGGATTTGTTCCATATTACTTAGGGGCTCAGGCTTTTGCCCCCACTAGAACATTGCCTCATTATCCCAGGACTAAGAAGTAGAACTCAAGTTATCACATCAGTTGCTTATAAAAAGTATATTTTAATGCCAACAAAGTGAGTAACTCTAGCCAGAATATTTATATACATGCTTGTCTCAATTTCATATTTATAGTCTCTGGGAATTTAACTTTCAGAAAATAAAGATTCATATTCTTGTTCTTTGATGGTCTCTGAATGAGCCTTAAGTGGCCGGTAGAATGTGCTCTAACCACCCAGTCTGGGCCTGTCAAGGGTATGTGTATACTAGTCCCTTAGATGAAAAGAGACCTGTTTATTAGATGGAATGGGCCAAAAAGGAAATGGCGTCAAGTACTGGTCCCTCATCTTTTCTCTATTCAGATTCTAAGGAAGGATACATTCAGGGTTTAAGCATTCTTCCTTGAGACAAATATATCAGTGACCAAGTCTTTTGAACAAAGATTGTCCCTGGTGGAACTCTGCCCCTTTCACAGGGGTCGCCCGATTCATAAAAGCAAATTTACAGTTATGAAGTAGCAACAAGAATAATTTTATGGTTGAGGGGGTCACCACAACATGAGGAACTGGATTAAAGGGTCTTAGCATTAGGTGGGTTGAGAACCACTGCTACAGAGAAACAAAACCAGGACATTTATGATTTTAGATAGATAAATGCAACATAAGAAATAAACAGCTAATTAGTCCACAGAGCAGTACACATGGCTTACTTCAACTCACTTCCATGAGATAGTTAATACACTGGCAGTCCTTAAACTCACAAGGGGTGTAGTAGGTGCAAGTCAAGGAAGCAAACAACTGAGTCTTCTGTAAAGCAATACAGGCAATCCGGCCACAAGCAGCAAAGAGCAGGGCAGGTCACCAACAGTCAGCCAGATGACAGAGTCTGATAGTCCCCAGTTCAAGTGATGTATACACCAGCAGTGTGGTAAAACAGGTCTCAAGGAGCCTCAAACTATAGTGACACAGTTCATAGGTTGGGTGTCCCACAAGTAGTGTAGCTTGCAAGCTGAAGCAGAGAACTAGCTAAGGTAGCCACACACTGATCATCAGAGAGCAAATGAGCCATTTATCTCTTTGCCCTTCAATTAAACTGCAACCTTAATCACCCCACTTGTGTTTATTGTCCAGGTTGGCACAATCCTACCTATCACGCCTCAGTAAAGAAATTTTAAAGAAATTTCTGTTGTGGTGTAGTGGTTACGCATTGGGCTGCAATCTTCATGGTTAGCTGTTTGAAACTACCAGTAGCTGTGGGAGAAAGACTGGGCTTTCCACTCCTATACACAGTCTCAGAAACCCACAGGGGTCGCTATGAGTCAGCATTGACTTGATGGCTGTGAGTTTGGTTGATTGTCATAAACTTTGTCAATTTAAAATTAAGTTCAACATTTACCTAATTACAGAATAAATCAATCCAAGAAGAAAAAAGGTCTGTATTGAGACGGAGGGAAGGAGAAAAATACAAGATATGTAAGACACTACCTTCGAAAACATCACATTCTGACATGAGATAACCACCAAAAATTTAGCGACATGTCCTAGGTGCAAAGAAAGAGATATGATAGAAAAGTAACAGTGGAAAGAGCAGCTAACCTTGAGGGGAGGGAGTTCATTGTCAGGAAAAACCTCGTAGAAGAGTGACATTGGAGCCAGACTTGGACGGGGAGGGGATGTGTGATAGTTCTGACAGGGAGCAGCACAGAAGCATTTGAAATGATAGCTCTAAAGTATTGCAGAAGGTAGGCATCATAGTCACCTGCCGTGTTGTTTAGTTTGCCCCCTTAAAAAAAGCTACTTCCAGGTCTTATCTAAGGTGATGAGCTTTTGATAATGGAAAATGAAGAAAAAAGCAAAACTTGCGATGATGGGTACCTATAGATTAAGTTATTTAAAACAATAGTTTTTCTGTGTATACGTGATCAGGGTTAATTATGTCTCATTAGAATGTTTCCTAGCATTATTTGTGAGAGAACTAATGAAAGCTTAAAATGGCTATATTATAAAACACAAGTAATTGTACAACTGAACAAACAATTCTCAAAACAAGTGCCACTGGAATTTCTGATAACATTTATATCTGTTCATACCGGCTAAAATTCATTTGATATAGCCTAGTTTTGAACAATGTTAGTTTATATAAAGCAAATATAGAGAGAAATGTTGGTCTTTGATATTACTATTGCCTATAAGGAGAGCTGGTGCCACAGTGGTTAAAGTGCTTGGCTGCTAACTGAACTTTGGCAGCTTGAGCCCACCAGAGGCTCCCTGGGAGAAGAGTGTGGCAGTTTCTTTAAAGATTACTGCCCTGTAAACAACATGGGGCAGTTCCACCCTATACTAACAGGGTTAGGATGGGCTAGAATTCACACGATGGTAGTTAAGTGGTAAGCCCTATTCTTAAAGGGAAAAAATAGGGCACTTTCAGGTTCTTCGTGTCACGGGACATCAGGAAATATCCAATTATCTTTTTTATAAAAGGCACTGATGAAAATTAGGCTCTTACGCATGTGACTTACCTACTCAAAAACTACAGCAGGTGTACAAAACAGGAACATGATAACTTTCAATTAATAGTTTTTACTGTTGTAGATTTTGTTACATAAATATTGGTAATGTTAGTTAGCATTTTGTTCTGTGAACCAGATGAATCTTGGTGTTAGCAAGTTTTGTTTTCGTTGCTCTTATTTTTTACTTAATGTAACTAGGCTTTGTTTCAATTCTGATGTGCATGTTTGAGTAGATTTTCTGGTGGTGTCTGTGAATTGGAAATAAGGTTGCACACAACCACAAGAATAATGTGATATATTACCTGCATTGTACAAAAGAGGAAGATACTATTAAGTTCTTTGACTTACTTATAGCCCCAAATTGGCAGAATCAGGGTTTGACTTTAGTTTTAACTGAGTCTGCAGTGCAAGCTTCTAACTCATACATATTTGACTAATTCTTAATTATACATAAAACTGTTTTTATAAAATGAGAATTAGGATAAAAATGTTATGAGACTAACTAAAGGCTGGCCTGATAAGATCTGTGCTAATAAGCAAATTTAGGATTCCAAATTTGCATTCCAGATTTATAGACCCTCACAATCCAAGTCATTTAATTATCCCTTTTCTAATTAGCGTGTAAAATTGAAGTCTACCATGGGGTGAAGTTCTGGTGATATGCTAGGATGTTTATTACATGTTGATGAAAATTAAATATGAGCTTTCTGCAAATGTTTGTGCTTCTAAGTAAAATTAAATCCCTATGAAAAGTTCTGTGTTGTTATTAGGTGCGGGGCCATCATGTAGGCTTTAACAGAAGCATTCCCTGCCTTCGTACCATCGACATGATTGTTTCTGTGCCTGAACCCACTGTTGCAACCATTTCGTCAGTACATCTTGTGGAAGGTCTCCCTGTTTTCTCCCTACCCGGTGCTTTACCTAGCAGGATGGCCTCCAAGGACTGCCTATCAGTCCAGTCAAGTTGGATCTCTTATCCAGCAGCTCAAAGAGTAGTAAGCCCATTCAGCAAACATTTATTAGCTATCCTGCCCTGGAGGAGCATCAGTAACTGCCTCAGTCACTGAAATCATTCTTGGATTGTAATATTTCTGAGTATCATAGTTGTGATTAAACCTGTAACACTGTTGTAATGAACATTTTAGACCTTTTAAAAATGATTTTTAAAGTCACTTAAAAACATTTTGAAATAATTTGATCTCTCACCAAACAATCAGTTTTATTTTGCGTTATTTCCATTTCTTTCCTGAGGTTTTTCAGCTTTCAACTTGCCATTTTTCTAGAAGACTCACTTTTGGCCAAAAAAGTATGGTTATGCATATGCATTTGAGGGCAGTTATTAAGTTAAGGGACCTCTGGTGGCGTAGTGGTTATGGTTATGCGTCGGACAGCGATCTACAAGGTCAGTAGTTAGAATAGACAAGCCGCTCTATGGGAGAAAAAACGAGGCTTTCTACTCCCATAAACAGTTAAAAGTCTCAGAAACCCATAGAGGCAGTCCCACACCGCCTTTATTAAGGCGGTGAGTTTTGGTTTTTGCTTGGATTAACCCTTATTAATCTTTACACCTTTAAAATGAGAAGTGTGGCGCGTAAATCTCTACCATGTGCCAAGGCACTGGTACTGGGAAGCGCCGAGGATTCAGGAATGACTGAAGTTTACCTGCGGTTCTGGCAGGTGCTGTGGGGGCTCCCGAAAAGGAACAAGGGAAGTGGGGACCTGGCTCAAAAGGAGAGTTCCCTGGTGGTAGAGTGGTTCTCGGTTGCGCTGCTGGCCGCGAAGCTGGCAGTTCAGAAGCAGCAGCTGCTCCGGGAGAAAGACGAGGCTCTCTATTCCTGGGGAGATTTACAGTCTTGGGAGCGGACAGGGGGCAGCTCCACCCTATCCTATAAGTCGGAATCCTATAAATTATCCTTTAAGTCGGAGTCGACGGCAGGGCAGTGAGCTGAGAGTTAACGCACCACGCCTTAGACCCCAGCACCAGTGGCTACTACAGTTCCGGTCAGGTGCGGGTCTCCTTCCCTTGTACAGGAGAAACTGCCTCAGGAAAGACGGCGGCGCGTTCGCTGCAGGGCAGCCTCGAGCGGGGCCGGAGCCGGGCCCGTGCGGTTAGGACGGGGCTCCGGGGGGAGGCACGCGGGACGGGGCCCGGCTCGTGCGCGCCAGGCCGCGCCGTTTAAACCTCCCGCCTGCC